CTCACACACAGAAAAAAAACCCCTATAAGACTTCTTGTGAAATGAAACTTCTATAGCATACTCATTCAGGCTCAAAAATGACTTGGTGGGGAACATTGGATAGAAACCACCTACAGCACCAGTGATTTGAGACAGTGATCTAACCTCTAGACCCTTGAACTAACACTCACTTCGAAAACGATATATTCATGCTAAATGAAAGAGATGGTTAACTGATTTTCGACTGCGGACTTCAGTTTAGCACATTTTTCCTCAAGAGACTGTCTACAGTGTTGTGTAAGAAGGCTTCACCTCAGCATCCACTAACTGGCTCCAAGCTACTCTTAGAGTAACTAGATACACGATCAACCAGCAATGCAGACAGAGGCTTCTCAGTAGGAAAACCATTTCTGATCAATAATTTTTGCCCTACCTGAAACCATAGTGGCAGGGGGACTTTTTGACTGCTTGGGAGCATGGTTGTTGGCAGGAAGCAGCAACTGTGACTGGCCAAAGGAAAAAAGAGCTGGGCTTGTAAAGGGGGTTGAGCTAACTTCTGTGCAAGAGTGAGGTCACCCTCACCTGAAAACACAGTGGACAATAAACTTTCTACAGCTTCAGAAGACATTGTTGATGAATGAAGTTTCTTGTATTAATCAGTAAAGCTGTGTCAGACTAGCTGAGCTTCACAAAATAACAGACTACTGTCTTTTTGCATTAATGTTTAACCCCTTAGTGATGGATGGTAAAACAAATCTTAATGCCAGAACACAATTTTTGCAACTTTGACATGTGTTAGGTAAACTGTACATATCATTGCAACTACTTTACATACCCAGGTGAATTATACCTTGTTTTTTTCAAGACAAATTGGGCTTTCTTTTGGTGGTAAATGGTAATGAATATCTTCTGCTTTTTTTAACGTCATCGGACCACCCTACGCAGTATGTCAGGTCATGTGACTTTCTTAGGAGTTCAAACTCCTGAGGAAGTCACGTGATGTGACGTAACACGTAGGGTGGTCCGATGATTTCAGGCCGCTAGACCGGAAGTTTATGAGCTGCCATCTTGGAAATTCCTGAACACATTGAAAATACATTATAACAAAGTTTTTTTTACTGTGGTGTCCAGGCAGGACACTTTTAAATGTGAGTGCACTTTGTTTTTTAATAAATTATGCTATATTTATATATTACACTTTGGCAAGCATTTCTGTTTACATATGCGGAGGATTTGTGGGATAAATAGGAGATGGTACCATTTGCAAAAGAATGAGGAGGAAAGTGCAGTCATCTATACAGTATACCTACCCAGGATTAAAGGGAAAGGCGGTATTTGACCTATGCAATTTGGGTCATAAAAGGAGGTGAGAGTATATATGCATGTCTCTGGTGGAGGAGCACCTATAGGAATATATGTGGATATAAGCAATAAAAAGAGCATCTCTTGTGAACACGGATCAAGCACACATTATGGACTTTTAAGTTGTATTCAATGTATTCACCGTTGTTGCATAATCACATGGTCTTGATGCTTTAATTCATGTATGAGGTTATAGGGATATATGTACGACACTATTATATGACGTGTCTATGGGAATGTTTGACCATTCTTCCTGAAGTGCATTTGTGAGGTCAGTCACTGATGTCGGACAAGAAGGCCTAGGTTCCACTCTCCACTCTAATTCATCCCAAAAGTGTTCTATGGGATTGAGGTCCTGACTCTGTGCAGGCCAGTCAGGTTCCTCCACCCCAAACTTGCTCATCCATGTCTTTATGGACCTTGCTTTGTGCATTGGTGCGCAGTCATGTTGGAACAGCATGAAATTGTACAAAATGTCTTGGTATGCTGACACCTTAAGGGTTTCCTTCACTGGAACTAAGGGGCCAAGACCAACTCCTGAAAAACAACCCCACACCATAATCCCCCTTCCACCAAGCTTTACACTTGGCACAATGCAGTCAGGTAAGTACCATTTTACTAGCAACCCCCAAACCCAGACATGTCCATCAGACTGCCAGACAGAGAAGCATAATTTGTCACTTCAGAGAACACGTCTCCACTGCTCTAGAGTCCAGTGGTGGCGTGCTTTACACCACTGCATCCAAAGCTTTGCATTGCACTTAAAGATGCAAGGTTTGGATGCAGCTGCTTGGCCATGGAAACCATCCCATGATGCCCTTTATGCACTGTTGTGCTAATCTGAAGGCCACATGAAGTTTGGAGGTCTTTAGCTATTGACTCTCCAGACAGCTGGCAGCTTCTGTGCGCTATGCGCTTAAGTATGCACTGACCCCATTCTGTAATTTTATGTGGTCTACCACTTCGTGGCTGAGTTGCTGTTATTCCCAGTTGCTTACACTTGACCGTTGACCGTGGAACTAACAGTTGACCGTGGAATATTTAGTAGCAAGGAAATTTCATGGATGGACTTATTGCACAGGTGGCAACCTATCACGGTACCACGCTTGAATTCACTGAGCTCCTGAGAGTGAACCCATTCTTTCACAAATGTTTGTAGAAGCAGTCTGCATGCCTAGATGCTCGATTTTATACATCTGTGGCCATGGAGGTGATTAGAACACCTGAATATAATGATTTGGAGGGGTGTCTCCCAATACTTTTGGCAATATAATGTGTATGTGTGTATATACTGTATATATATATATATATATATATATATATATATATATACACAGTACATATGCTCTGAATGTAAAGGCAGGGTGGTGGTTGTTTTTCAAGTCCTCCATGTTTCCCTCCTCATTGGGAGCCAAGCAAGGGTCTTATGAGAGGCATACCCCTGGGTGGGTTCTTCTGAGCTACGCTAGTCACCCAAGAGAGAAGGTCACTCTCTTACACATGGGGTACCTTCACTTTAGTGCCATTTTTACCAATGCCCTGGGATAAGGCTGAGGTTGCCATCAGGGAATACTTGACTTTAAGGCAGTCCTCTACTCCTAGAGATGAACATATACCATGTACACTTGCACAACTGCTTTCCAGTTAACGCTCAGGTCCCCGAGTAAATGTAAATCTTCACATTGTAGCTTGCAATTAAGTGGGCCATGCCGAACACTAACCACAGCCTCTTGCATCATGGAACCCCACCATGCACATAGTGGGGGCTCCAATGTGAATTTCACTTTAGGTCTTGAACTTCCATACCTCTGTACAGGATACGTACTTCTGCAGTGCAATTCCATTCTGGTTGCTGTGGGAGTCAGAATGTGGCATAGTGAGTGCCGAAAACATCTCCCTCACAGCAAGAAGCTATTCCGCCTATACCAAGTACATGTTTACGATAGGCTGCTTGCTGACTGTAGCTTTGTTGTTCATGTCAACAACATGTATAACTTGCATTAAGGTGTGCTGCCCAAGTGTACCTGCACAGGTAGAGTCCATGTAATTCCAGAGTCCATCAGAGGCATTCTTCAGTATCTGGTGTCTTTGGGGCAAACCCCAAGTTCTAAAGACTTTACATCTTGGTGGAAGACTGTGGCATCCTTACACTCCTCTTGGGTGTAGTTCTCCTCGAGGAACCTTGGAAAATGGACAGGACCACAGAACACAAGAAGCAGGCCCAGGCAATCACACTGATGAACTCTGAGCAGCTGAAGGTTACATCTTTCTGGATGTCTGTGTGTACTCTCTCCCTTGCAGCTGACAGAACAAGTCTGGGCAAAGCCCTCTCTCTTTTATACTACCAAAGGGAGAGAGAGGCAGAGCTCAGGCAAATAGTGGGAAAGAAGTTAGCCCATCCCTCCCATCCATGGCAGCACCTTTCTAACTAATTTCAACCTGCTTACATGCATGTCACACTGCCCTCCAGTGTCTAGCATCTCTTAACAGCTGAAAATCAAGCAAACAGATAAATACACAGGTGAAATACATATAAGGAACTCATTAACCTTCTAAAAAATGTGCATTTCTGTCCATCCAGACACAAGATTTACACAGCCTTGACAGACAAGCAGATGACATCACCTACAGCAGTGTCCTCTCTCTGATGTAGCTTAGCTACTGGAAAGTAAAGAGCAGCTGCAGAATAATTAGGTAATCTCCTTAATTACTCTGACTATCCTCTGATGTTCCTTTGCAGTATATATACATGCAGTACACCTGATTGGCTCCCAGTCCTGCCCATCCCTCACCTAAACTAAGTGCAGCAATATAGGGGCTAGCAAGAGGCCAAGAACCAGTCAAATTTAGAAACGTAGACTAAATGCCTTTGAAAGAAACGTATTTAAAGACGCAATAATTATTAGGACTTTCTTATTGTATATCTGTTATATCTGCCTGGAGTTCAACTTTAAACCAATCATCTTATACCCTTCAGTTTCTGTAGCCTAGTTTAGCTCCCTTCCCTCCACTTTGGCCAACTCTGACATTCCTGGCTGTATGCTGTACAGTGATATTGGAAATTGTATTTGTTTATTTTTTTTTACTGGTGTACTTTAAATTGTAACTGCACATTTACCCACCTGTCCTTGGTACAGCAGCATATCGGCTGTGCACCGCATAGGCGCTGGTCAAAATCGTCTTGGCTGGTCCCGTGCATGCACATGCAATTCTATTCATTGGAGAGCTCATACTCCAAATGTCTAGAGTAAATTCTCTGTATAGAATTGACAGGACACTGCCAAGGAAGCTGTGGACAGAGGGATTGAAAGAATAAGTGTGACAGCATTTAAAATAAAAAAAAAAATTATGAAAGAAGAGCACAGTGCTGATGCCCTTTAAAGGGGAAGAGGCAGAACCCCTTGCATTCACAGTATGTCCACAGTCTTCCAGATTGAATAACACTTGGGGGTTGATTTACTGATGGATGCCAGACAGAACAGGAAGTAAGGGAACTTTTTAATACTTCCTGTTTATTTGATGGATGTCAGAAAGAACAGGAAGTAAGGGGGAAGCTCCAATGGGGACAGAGACAGCAATAAAAATTTTCTTATAGTGTAAGTAGTGAGAAAAATGAAGAACCTCTGTAAGGGTTTTTATAATGCCTGTGTCAGGGGTGGCCACCATTTTTGTGGAAAAAATGCCATTCTTATGATCTCTTTCCAATCACATTGGCAGCAAACAGGGGCAGACTGACCATTTGGAAACTTGGGCACTGCCCGAGGGCCCAGGGTCAGTAGGGGGCCCCATGAGATGCCCCTGGTACCTTTTTCATAGGCTTTTTTGAGTTTTGGCAAGGACACAGGGGCCCCATGATCCCCTATTGCCCGGGGGCCCCATGAGTTGTCAGTCCGCCCCTGGCAGCAAATTCAATTTTTACCAACCAGGCAACCAAACGATGGACCAGAAACTTTGTTTGTGTTCCCTTGAAGAAGATTTCCCCTCATTTCTTGTCCAGGTGACAGTTTCATACTATAGGTTGAACACAACCAAAAATTACACAGACACCAAGAATTACATGATGGTTCCCAACTTTTGGAAACAAAAGCAGAAGAAAGCATTGTCAGATGGAGTACTGTGATCCCTGTTATACGAGGGGCATTCAAGTAAAACCAGGACTTTTAATTTTACAGATATAAAAAGGGATGCTAGCATGGTGGTACTACACATAGTAGTAAGTGGCAAGTGTGTCCTATTACTTATTGGATGTGCTTGTTCTGTTAGTGGATCCTGCTCAGATGCTCACACACTGTAGTTAACAGGATACATTTTATTAGGTGCTTCTAGCTGCCATTATACATGTGTCTGCCCTAGAACTACAACCAAAGAGAGGCAATAACACAGTTGTACCAGTATCTAAGTAGTGAGACACCTAGAGGCCATACACAGCATATAACATATTGCTACAGTGCTCATGTTGTGGGCCAGATCAGAGACCAATTATCAAGATGGCAGACCACAGTGTTAGTTAGTGCATGTGTGGTGATTAAGGTTCTTGTGAACAAAGGCGTAAAACCTGCAGATATCTACAGAAGACTTCAAGCACAGTACGGTGATAAGATGCTCTGCTGCAGTAAGACGTTTGACATGTTTCAAAGATGGCCTTACATCCATCAGTGACGATCGTGGATGTGGTGGTTCCCAGCCCACAGCAGTCATTCCTGTGATTATTCAGCGCATGGAATGCCTGATCATGGATATTCGACGCATAATCTGTTTTGAAATTGCACAAGAAATTAATCTTTCTGTGGGAACGGTGAACACAATGATGACAAAGCAGGCTGTCCTAGGATGGTTCAGGTGTACTGACAAATCTTTCTATGCCGAGGCTGTCCAGGTATTAGTTAAATGCTGGGATAAGTGTATAAATGTAGCAGGGGAGTACGTTGAAAAATAAATGTGGTTTCCGCTCCTTGAAATTTGTTCTTTTATTATATAAACTCAAACGTCCCAGTTTAACTTGAACACCCCTCATAGTTAGCATGCAAGCACTTAGCATAAAGGAATATATCTAATGCTAGGTCCACTTTAAGGCTAAAATGCCCATTTTTGAGATATATAATTTTGAACAGCTTTTTTATTCAGCAGCTTCAGGCACATTCTGCACTTGTTTTACTATATTTCAACAGATGCGTGAAAATAACCCATCAAAATCTCTTTGTTGATAAGCATTAGCAATTATTAAAACATTTTCTCTATTTTGTGCTAGAGAATCTCACTTATCATTTATGTCCCTCTAAGCCAGCTATATAATCTTTTTTTTTTCAAAATGTGAATGTAAAATAATGAGGCTAATGAGTGTCCATTATTTGCCACAAGAAAAGGTTCAGAAGAGTTGAAAGAAGCTTCCATAACCCTCAAGAGCCATTTAAAGTCCTTTGCACCATTAAAAAGTATGAACAGTCATAACTTTGTTCTTTTTAGTTTTGGATAGAGTGAGGAAGGGTTAGACTTTTGTCAAGTTTTATTGCTGTCTGTGTCCTGGTGTCCACTGTCACCAAATTTTGAAAATGTGTGAAAATCTAAAATGTTAGAGTTGTCAGAAGAATAAAAATTGCCCTCATGTTGGGGAGATTTCCTTTTATTTTATATTGTGTTTCAGGACAGAAAAAAATTTCTGCAGTGGGACATGGAAGGCAAAAAATAAGCCGATGGGGTCTTAACTTTTCATAATCTACTCAAAATGTTAACCACTTGCAACTTGGTCACAGTAGATTTACTGTGACCGAGCGGCAGCTGCAGGCTCATCAAAGTAAATAAACATTGCAAGCTTACTTTCATGTCTGACACAGCAGGTTCCAGCCAATGATTTATAGCTGAGACCTGCTGATTGGCTGTGTCCAATCACAGCACAGAGTCCTGTGTTTTACAAACAACACAGGGCTTTGTACACAGAGCAGCAATCTGGCATTTTATTTCCCCTGCAAAGCAGGGAGAAAAACAGCCAGATATTAGCAGCACATATTACACACATTACACTTGTTAGGCACACAGTTAACCCTTTGATTGCTTCTAGATATTAACCTCTTCCCAGCCAGTGCCATTAGTACAGGGACAGTGTACAATAATAGCACTGATCACTGTATTAGTGTCACTATTGATGTCAGCCAGTGTCAGTCAGTGTACCTCCCAGCAAGGGTCTGTTATCGCTAATTGCCTGCCACGCTATCACAGTCCCACTATACGTTTCTGATTACTGCCATTACCAGTAAAGCATCATAGCTGTGTAACACCCTGCATGAATACTGGTTTCAGGATGTTAATTAAACACAAGATGGCAGTGTTCTGTAGTTCAGTTATGCAAACTCTATTGAAGTAAAGCCTTGTTGGACTTGTATGCTGGTAGCAGGACTTATTCACTCAGATAGGGAGTAAATACACTACATTTCCCAGGAGAGCTGGTAAAGGGGTAGGAGTGTATATAATGATAGGTCTGGGAACTTTACAGGAAGGAAGTGGATGGTGAGATGCGAAGAACATGTGTATGTGGAGAAGGCCGCGCAAGACTCTGGAGATCCTGGATCTGAATCAGGCCAGAAATATCAGTGTGTGAATTTAAGGTTCAGATTAAGAAGTTCCAACAGAGAACCAATCCTCGGCTTGAAAACATAAATTTTATTGAGAATATCAAACGTTCAATAATTGATACTATCCCTCCACCCTACACAATTAATATCAAATGACAACGTTCTCATACACAGTAAAACACTGCCCAGGCTCAACTATATATATATATATATATATATATACTATGTATTTATTTATATATACAGTATATGCCAATATGGATATGGCAGTGTTGGTCCCGTTAGTACTTAAGCCAGAAGTGTACACAGGATAAACATCTTTTGGACATGTACAACAATGTCATTCCGTGTTGTTCATTAGTCTGGGCAAATACCTGCAGTCAATATAGCATGCTAGAAACTCAAGCTTATGGGCCATACACAAGGTCCGTCAATCAGAGTGCATAGGCAGATAGTATTTCAATGACTCCAGTGGAAATAGTGGCAGAAAGGACATCAGGGTTAGTAGGCCAAGTGAAAGATTAATATCTTTATATATAATTATATGTGGGTTCCTTATATGAACATCAGTCCCTCATATAAAGAACCCACAGATATGAAAGCTATTAATCTTTCACAGTTTGATGAACAAGAGAGACATCTTAAGTTACTATGTAAGGGCCTGTCCTTTTCACCTACAAATGCGATGAATCATTTTGAGGTGTATAAAGATGTCCACCTATTTCTCAGGAAAGTATACCTTAGGCTGGTACACTCTGAAAAAAAAATCAAGATGGCTGCCGGCCGTCCATACAAGCCATGCAGTGTCTAGACACAGATAGGGGGCACCTCAAGGCTTGTATGGACGGCCGGTGGCCATCTTGATTTTTTCAATGTAAGTGTGATTCATCTCATACACGTTTATTTTATTAATAAAGACTACTACACTATTGGAGGCTTTGTTTGGGGCTCTTCTTTTGTATGAGAGCCCCCCCCTGTTTTGAAGGTGTTTCCTGACTCCTGTCCATCTGACGTATGGTACTTTATGTGATCCCCCTGGTGGCTGTCATCTGCATCTCTGGAGGCTGGCTTCTGAATCTTGATGTGTGACACCTGGTGGCTGCTGCACAGATGACTACTGCCATTTGAAGTGCTCCAGATCCAGAGAACCAGGAGTAGGTCTTAAGTACTCCGTGCGCAAGCTATCTCAATATCTGGTTAGTGCAATCTACACCTATTTCCACCATCACAGGAGTCACAGATTTTCTGCTTAATAAGCCTATTGACTTTTTCACAGCAGTCACAATTATTTTGCACAACAAGTATATTGACTGTACCTGTTTATTATTTTACTTATATCCTACTTATTCAATATTATGGCATCTTGTGTGTTACGTCCAGGTTCATTTATATATATATTTTTTCATTTCTTTATGTTCATTAGCTCTGCATATATATTTTTATAAATGTGCTAAGAACATCAGAGCTCCAAGACTGAACAGAGAAACAGTAGACGTGTTTCACACGAACACATGCTTAGTCATTACAGTAATGATTATAAAGGATTTTATCTACTACACCGTTGCTTGTGCTGCCAACCTTTGTGTCTTGACATTGCACCTGCGATTACGGATTGGGCCAGCACCGATGTGTATGTGGAGGGGCCATACATCTACGGCACTCACCTGGAGTTGTTCACTTGTCTCCCTGGTTTGGTTGTACTCCCATGGGACCATTAGACGCATAAAGGCTTTGACGCAGAGACGGGAGGAACTCTTAAGTGCACAAACTGATGATGTTTCCTCTCAATGCACTTCTCCTGTATGCATCATTACTCGATTTGGCATCCAGTGGGAGGAGGTATGGGCCATCTTAACCGAGCACTGGCATATATTGATACAGTCACCAGAGTTATCTGAAATAGTGGGCAATAAGCCCCTAATTGTCCTTGAAGGATAACCTGGTGCAATCAGAATATAGGTGGGCACCTGTGAGAAATTGGTTAACTGATTTGCTACAAAAGGGATAACAGGTGCATGGTGTGGCAGTCCATGTATGTTTGATGAGTTCCAAATGGGCAGGGGTGAAGGTAGTCTAGTAGGTACTAAGGGCAAGCTGCGTAGGAGCGAAGCATACTTCTGCAGAAGGGAAACAAAGAAACACAGTGCCTCTAAGTGTTTACTATGAAGGTATTTAATAGAAAGATAAGTAGTAACTCACATCTTAGAATTTAAAAACAGGCTTATGGGTAGGAGGGTGAGACATCTGTAGCCAGATGTTGTTGTGTGACTGACCAGAGAGGAGATCAATTGAGTCTGCCAGCAGGTGGTGTTGTGCATGTGCAACATGGATGGTAAGCCTGGTGGAATCTCCAAGGTGTCTGCCAGCAGATGGTGCTGTGCATATGCAGCATAGATGGTGAAGCCTGGCAGAGTCTCCAAGATGTCTGGGATCAGCACATGTGGCGTCTGACCAGGGGCGGACTGACAACTCCTGGGGCCCCCGGGCAATAGGGGATCATGGGGCCCCTGTGTTCTTGTCTAAACTCAAAAAAGCCTATGAAAAAGGTACCAGGGCATCTTATGGGGCCCCCTACTGACCCTGGGCCCTCGGGCAGTGCCCGAGTTTCCAAATGGTCAGTCCGCCCCTGCAATGCGTTTCTGAGCATGTGCAGGACGAGATGAGTCCAGGCACGCTCTTTCATCAGGCAGGAGGAGCTGGGGGTGAAGGAGCCTTTTGTAGAGCAAGGGGAGGATGATGTACAGGGCCAGGGGTGGGGAAAGAAGGAGGAACTGTCAAAGAGCAGTAGACAAGCTGTCTGTGAACAGGAAGATTAATAACACAATGTGGGTTCGTATAGGTGAACACCTTGGCAGTATCAGCAATAAACATGATAATACCCCAGTTGCACAAAGTCAAGGTAATTTATGCATTGAACCTTTCCAATTGCAGGGGTGATTTTGACATGGTCCTGCTGTGTAAAGAGAAGGAGTGGATATTCAGACTTGGGTCTTTGGCACCCAAGGGGCTCAATACTGAATTGAGCCTACAGGGGTTTTTGGAACCTTAACCCGCATATTTATTGCTGGTTCGTTAACACTGTCCCGGCTGTTAAAGAGCTTTTTTGACTACTTCGTTTTCACTCTTATTTAATAGATAGTACTAAAACCCTCTATCTTATCCCATGGTCAATTACATAATTTATCAATTAATCCTTTGTATGTATAGGCCATTTTTATGACAATATGGTTCACTGGTCTCATAGGGAAGCTATGGAATAGCTTGCTTTAGTGTGGGTTGCACAATTTGATATAATTTAAATTGGATCACTTACTGGTTAGGTGTAATTGTTATCATAGCAGTATGAGATGTTCTAAGTGATTTTAAGGCTGTGGCTTTCTGTGGGGTAATCTGGAAGTGAAGTGTTGGTCCCTATATAAGCCCCTGACATTAAGGACCCAGCATCCTGAAGAAGCTCATGTGACTTAGTGGGTGAAATGCATTGACATCATAACGTCATCACGCCTGCACTCTGGGCCCCACCATGGGGCTTCTTCAACATGCTGCAAGTGACTGTTTTCATTTCAATTGTTCAGTTTAGTACACCTTACATCACAGCTTATCAAACTGAGGCCCAGACTGTCTAGCGACCTACTGCTCTAGTGCTTTTCTAACACCCTGAAACTTCAGGACTCTGGCTACAGCACATGCCCCCTGCAGACAGTACTACACTAGTATCCCATTTCAAGCCTCTGTCAACTTCAAAGGAACCTGATTTGCCAGACTAATTCACCATCTTTAGGGAGTCAACCGTTGCTGAAGTCGGCTTCTGTCTCTTTCTACAATCTTAATCTCAATTCTTGCCTTACACTAAGAAGAATCTGAACCTTAATGTGCACCAGGTAGGGCTGCATCAAGCATGCAGAATATGTGACACCCATATTTAAAAGATACAAAAAGGGGACACTATCACTCATAACAAAAGTATTCAGTATTGAGTTAAACCCAGTTATCAGCAACTGAGAACCCAAAAGTGAGTCAACCTGACAGCTTGACAGTTCACATCATCACACTTGTGGAGAGACATCTCAGAAGCTGGAATTGATGTTTAAATTCTGATCCTGCAAGACTTTTGGAGTTGCTTAAAGTGATACTGAGTTGTATTACTTTGTTGAACCTTTTAGAGTGTTTAACTTTTCTTTCATGCACATCTTCTGTCATTCTTGTTGTGCTTGCATTCTTATATTTGGACTTCAATGTATCCAGAATAATTGCTCACTTTAGACTGTGTATGTTTATTTTTTGGTTTAAAGCCAGGGAGACCTCATGGTCAAAGATTCACAGTGGTGTCAGCAGGGGCTGTACTTCCAAAGCAGGCTCAGGACAGACAGGGAATCCCCCAAAAAATACTCAGCAGCCCTCAACAGGGTAGCTCTACAGCTACAAGGATTCTAGTATATATACCATAGTTTGTAGATGCTATAACTTTCGCACAAAACCATTAATATATACTTATTGGGATTTTTTTTTACCTTACACATGTAGCAGAATACATTTTAGGCTACATTTCTAAATAATTTTTTATTGGATACATAACACAATGTAGAAAATATTTTATAATTACAAATTCCAGTGGTGATCAAATACCACCAAAGAAAGCTCTATTTGGGTGAAAATAAATCATATACATGTCCTTTGGTTACAATGGTGTATGACGGAGCAATTGCCAGTTAAAGTAGCGCAGTATTGAATAGCATAAATCCCCTGGTCATGAAGGGGGTAAAACTTCCCGGAGGTCAAGTGATTAAATTTATTATGAATTAGTAGGGGAAAATGTTTTTTTAGATACACTTTTAGTGGTCTTTTTGTACAGAAAATGTAGCTGTGTTTTGAGTCATTTAGTATATGACCTTGTTTTGAAAACAAAAATAGGCTTCCTCTTAATTTAAGATCTCTGATATCTGTGAATAAAATCCATGTTGAAATATGGATCATGCCAAAGTCATCACTAACAAGGAGGACACTTTCAATATATTAATGAACATGATAAAGGTGATTGCAGGTGCATGGGTTATTCTATGGTATATTAGTTTATTATAGTATTGATCACAGTCTGTTTGGAAGGGGGGAGGGGGGTCTTGGGATAACAAGCTTCTTAATATAGAAGCTGGATCAATATACCACTTGGAATCACTGAACCCTAAAGGACTCAACTAACAGTTTATGCCTCCTCTTTCATCTTCTAGAAAGATGGTTGCTGCATTATAACTAAGTATGAAAGAGAACTATGATGATTTTGGGGTAGTTGTATTTTTTTTTTTTTGTTTAAGGTTTATAGATTTGTAAACTGGTATATATATATAACAATTTGCTTGCAATGAAACTCAAAAAGGTCTTGAACAAGGGACAGCATAGTAGACGCTGCCAACTAAGGTACAATTTGCCTGATTGAAGCCAACTGAACAGAGGATAAGAGACAAGTTATGAACCCTTAGGAGTATAACTGACTAGGGATGAGTTACTGCAATAAATCATTCATATGTTTTTAAAATTCACTTTCATCTATTGAGTTCTGTAAACAGCAATTGTTTGTCAATTGAAGAAGCAAACAGAGATCCTGAAAAAATTAAAAAAGAGCCTACAGCTCCACCTACTGCCCTTAAAGGAGAATCCAAACTTTAACATACAATAACATTGTTTTATTTTATTTGTATTCTTTTACCATAAGAAATACAACATATAATTGACTTACTTTTCATTTGTGCATCCTTTTTTCTTTTCTACTAGTTTTTATTATGATAGTACCTTTTTTGCAATAGTAAGCTTTTGAAAATATTACTCTTGTATATAAAAGTAATATTAATTCTGTGGATTTAGGTAGGTACTTAGCATATCCCTGTGTATCCTCAGCTTGTCCTCTTCATAAAAGTATTTGTTACCAGTTTCAGTTCATGTTTAATAGGAGATAAAAGTTTAGAAGGGATATTAAGGGGAGGTATTGCAAAAGTCTAAGGCGTTATGAAGAAGCTTCACTGACCACCGTGATCATAGATATAAAATAGAAGATATATAGAAGAGGGAGAAGAGGTGGGGGAATGATGTAAGGAGAAGAGTCAAATAGGGTTTTCCCATAGAGTGTCTCCTCCTAAGCCTCCTGTTTCCTGTAATATGTTGTATATCCACTGATCCCAAACCTTCCAGAAATGCGAGGGTTCTTCAAAAAGTTTCTGCACTTTTAAACTTTCATGGGAAACGGTGAGGGCTGGAGTAGTAGTAATTGGTCGTGTCTGAGAGTGTCATGTGACTAGTCTGTCTGGCAAGCCGGTTGACCTTGCAGTTTAGCATAAGAGTTGTCATGTTGTTTTTGAAATTCTTAACAGAGTTTAAAAAAAGTGTGGAAACTTTTTGAAGACTCCTCGTATATTAGTTTATCATGCAGTTTTGCTGATATTTTCTAATTTATCATTATTGATGACATTTTGACTTCCACCCATTCACATTTCACAAATTGTAAGTGTATGTCACTAGTTCCAAGATGTTTTCACAACCTTGCAATAGCTATTCTTGCTGCCTTTAGTATGTAAGAGATTAGTTTTTCAACGTGTTTTGGTATGTCTCTGTCTGGTGGTTTATATGGAGATTTATTGAGGTTTATATGGTCATCTAAATGTATGAAATGGCAGATTCTGATTCAAAACCAGACATTTTTTGGCATATCCATCATAATGGAAAGAAATGTCTTACTGTCTGCATCCTCTAAAGCATCTTGTTTAGGGGTTTAGGATAAAATATGCCAATCTTGATGGTGCCACAAACCACTAATTAGTATTTTATAATTAACTTCAATGATTGGGGTGTTGATATTCAATTTGGATGCATTTGTTGCCCTCCATGCACAATCATCTCTCCCAAGTCATGTTCCTATTTAACCATCTAAGGTAATTTTTTTTAAAGGTTGACTTAATATTTTATATCGAGGAGAAATTATCTTTCATGTTCATGGCAACATTTCTGCAAATATGTTTGAAGGAATACAAAATGGCTATAAATGCCAAAAATCCTGTGCAATAATGCCATACAGCAATAAGACCCAATTATCAAAAGGGTGCTGCCGTGTGATGGTGGAAGGTACTGCTGAAACATAAGTTCACATCCAAAAATATTGCTACCGATAAGGTCCCAGCTTGGTCCATGAGCTAAAAAGGTGTTCGACCAAACTGAACCTCTACCCACAGCAAGTGACACGTTTGGCAGTGATATTACAGCGACTGCTAAATGTGACAGGTTTCTTCATAGGGTTCCTGGCTGTTTCTTAGGGAGATGGCAAGCCGCTGGTATCCTAACAGTTGGCGATGTATAACTGCCCGCCTCCTTCAGCTGTCAGCTGAGGATTCCTAGAGATAGTATTAAAAAAAAAAAAACGTGTTGAATCCTTTCCCAAAATTCATACCCAAGCAGTACAAGGCAAAACATTTGTGTATTCATATGAGTAAAGCCCAACCTTTTTTTCCCCTTTTTATAGGTGATCACATATCCTCTGTTCTCACTTGAAAAAGGAGCTCAGAGAGCTAGGGGAGGAGAAACAGCAGTACACTAGTCTTTCCAGTGATTGGCTGTGTGGGGAGGGGGGCGTGTCATCAGAATCCTAAT